AGCTTGACTGAGGAAACACAAAAGACTGAGGGAGTGGAGGAGAGGAGGGTCTTTTAAGCAGATTAAGTGACGTGTTTCCTGTGTGTGGGGGAGGAGATTCCATCTCGTGATGCTGTCCTGGAAGACGTTATGGGAAATAATCTCAACTGGACAAGGAAACACCATAACAGGGTTTTTACCCATTCCCTACTCCATCCAAAACTATAAAAGATATACTGTACCTCTCACCTGTACTTCTCATGACATATAATATGGTGGAACTCAAGTTTTTTAGTTTTGGGTAGTGAGAAAGGATAGACCATTGGTGTCACTCTTTGTTGCAAATGCGGTGTCTCTAGAAGCAGGAGGAAAGGGAAATCTCCCCAGTGGGGGGTGGGGGGGGTGGGGGGTGGGACAGGTAACAGGACCTGCCTGAAGTTGCAATCCTTCCCTTTTGGGTGTAGTTGGACCTGAAGACATTTTTAATAGAACAGATCTGTAATATAAGTTATCGTTCATGCTTACCCATAGGGAACATACCAGGAGCTGTGTTTGAGTTGTGCTGATTGGGCTGTCCCACCAACTGGTTGACTGATGGCAATTTGTTCATTCCACCATGGACTTTATTCATCGGTGACAGAACGGGACCGTACGATGACTGGGACTGGATGTGTGCACTGCAAAGAGAAATGATGTGCAATGATGAAGACCTCATTCATTCTGCGGCAAAATGACTACCCAAGAAACTGCTCATGAAATCAGTTCAGACAATGAACACCGCCCTCTAGTGGACATTACATCATGATCCAGAGAGTCACTAAGGAGCTGGGTATATCCAGTAAGGCAAAGCAAAAGCATAGGGTCTGGTCAGGGTTGTCCCCAACCTTTTTGCAGCCTGCGACCGTGGTGCGGGGTAGGGATTCTAGAAGGGAAGGGGCGGGTGGAGGAGGCATCCGTGTGGCCTCTGCATCATCTGGCAACTGGTGACATGACATCACCGGTTGGCAGGACCTAGGCAAGATGCTTAGCTCCTGGCAATCAGTGACTTCACTGGTTGCCAGGAGCCAAGTGGGACATCAAATCAGAGCATCCCAGGTTGCTATAAGGTGGGCAAGGAACTGTGCATGGTCCTTGCACATCTCCCCCTCTGGCTCTTAGCAACCTGGGATGCGCTGGCCGGAAAGGGGGTGGCAGGCATATTGTGCAGCAAAGCGGCCATGCCACTCTGCCTGCCACCTCCCCCCATGACCCAAAGAGATGCCGCCTGAGGCAAAAGCCTCAGGCTCCCTCATTATAGGGATGGCCCAGGTTGTAGTAACCCATCAGTTTGCTGTAGCACAGACATAACTGGTTATTTCATATAACCTTACTGGATAAGTCCAGATGTGTCCCCGTTTATCAGGCTATAAACAGAGTAAAATGCATTCACCGAATGTAGCATTATACTGGGGTCTGTTTTGTGATCTAGAATCAGACATTTGCCTGCAGATATTTGCATTATTTTATTTGTTTCTAATGGACCTGCCTGCTTAGCATCAGGCTTCAAAATGCTGCAATGCTTTTCCACCAGAGGAGGAAAGTCCCCCAAAATGGTGCAAAGAGTAAAACTTACTGTCGCTGCAGAAGCTGCTGTTGTTGCTGCCTATACGAGTCCACCAGCTGCTGTGGCACTAGCTCCACCAGTTCCAGGCTCTCCTTAATTTTCATTAGGATTTCAAAGTTCTCCCGACCACGTACCTGAGGAGCGGACAGATTCCATTATATATCTGTATACGAGGCTGGGCTGTGACTCATAAGACCTCCACACTGTCTCTCTCCATCTCCCTCTGGTGTAGTTCTCAGACTCTACGAGTCCCTCTGGTGGAGAGCGGAATTTGTTTTAATTCATATTGTAGCCTTGTGTCAAAGACCAGAGTGTTCCTGCTTTCCAACGAGGCCAGGGGTTAGCAACCATCAAACTGCACTTTTTAAAGACATCCAGACACCCCAATCCAAAGAGGAAGGCGTTTAGGCCTCACAGAGCCTGGCGGGTCCAAATTCTGGTGCTCCACTTCTCAAAAGTAATTTTTCTGTACTTCAGCTTTTTAGAGGTACAGAACATGGGGACATGTGCGGGTATTAGGTACAGTACACTGAATGTATTTTTTTTGCCCTGACATATATTTTAAGAAAATGCTACAACTGGTGTCATGACTTATCTTGGCTTTCCCTCTAACCTAAACTTACATTGTTCCTCCTCCTCTGTGTAATGTAGAAGATGAGTTACCTAAACACCCCGATAACCCACAATCTCATATACTTACAGGCACATAGTAGATTTCCTCCTCGCCGTGGCGTCTTTTCTTGATATTTGCCCCTAGTCCTGTTACTCCTGGAGGACTCTGCTTGCAAGATGCTGAAAACAAAAGATTACAATTCAGAGTCACAAAGAAATAATCAGTCAACTCTTCGAAGTGCAACAAATGGAGATTTCAGAAACAGAAAAGTGAAAGGGAGTTATAAAGCGAATGAATAATCATACTTCTCGTACACTCACTGCGCTTGGTGCCATTTCCATTTTTTGTCGCGGTTTCGTTTAACGCTGCTTGTTCCCGAAAGTGGTCTTCATCAGCCTTCCTGTCCCTGCCAGGACACGCACAGATCCTCCCTTCAAATGACCTCCGGCCTAATACTTGTCCACTACAAAGAAAAATGAAGATATGTATTGTGTTGTGTATTATATGTATATAGATCTCAGTGACTGGAATAACTGCCGGGACAAGTGAGGCAAAAACACATTTCAAATCCTGCTCAGCAACATACAGGAACAGGACTTGGGACCTTCTCGGTAAAGTTCATGAAGACTCCGAAGAAGGTCAGACTTGGAGATATGATCTGACTGTATGCAGATGTATTTTGGTCCAACTTTAGAATTAAACAAGGATGCTTGGGTTGCATGAGCATTCCTAATTCTATTCCTATTAAGACTCATCTCTTCAGGGAAGCCTATCCCACCTCAACCTAACCACTGAACTGAATCACATTCCCAAACAATTCATCCCCACACAGCTACCTCCTCATGTATCACTGGTAGGGTTGCCACCTTTTCTTCAAGTGAAACCCGAACACTCAAGCGACGTGCAGACATTTTTTGGGGAGAATGAGTGGTGGCTTATTCATAGGTAAATAGCGCTGCCCATTTATATGTTAATATCACAGTTGAGACTATTTTCTTTGGTTGCCCCTGTCTGCCTGACATCTTGTGTCCGGGTTTCTGCTGCCATGACACCCTGACACAGCATTCAAAACCTGAACTGTCCGGGTGAATCCTGGACAGGTGGCAACCCTAATCACTGGCCCCTCCCTTTTAGATTGTAAGTCCTCAGGGGCAGGGCCCTCCTTACCATCTTGTCTTGTGATTGTAATGTCTTCCTCATATTGTAAAGCGCTGAGCAAACTATTGGCGCTATATAAATCCTGTATAATAATTTGGGATATGCAGAAGGGGGATATATTGTGCTTCCCACCTGATGAGCCTTAACAAGAACACTTGCTTGCACCCCAAGTGTTGATGTTTATGAAAGGATGGTTCACCAGATGCTTGTAAACCACAAGATATTACCAGCTGTGCCAACTGTAATACCCAGTAATGTTTAAAGCCGAACTTCATCTGGGGAAGAAGCATTCTCAGAAGTACTGGCAGCCTCCATACTGTCTCACAACAGGTATGCCCAGCAACACCAATGGAGATTACTCACTCTCTGGTCTCCAGGGTGATGATGATGAGGATCGGTCTTCTGTTCATCCCTCCAACACAGCTGCTGTTACACATGAAGTTGTACAGGATGGTAGTGTACTCTGTTCCCACCTGACAAAGTAAAGCAATACATCATACAAACTGTTGGCCCTATATAAATCCTGTATAATAATAATACAGTATATCTATACCTTCCTTCAGCATTTTACAATGTAATGAATTAATCAGAAATGTGTATTCATGTGAACTGTGTAAATGTATATATTTAACACACAACACACTATTTTGCACACAATATGTATGTGTATCTATATGTATGTGTATTGATACCCAAACACATGCATATAGATGGACACATTCAGCAGGCGGAGCACAGAAGTAAAGAGCAAATGGGGAAACTTGTGGAAATCAAGAGTTGGAGAAGAACACAGGACCAAGATCAGAATGGGGGAGGAACCCAGGGGTAAGGCCTGTCCCAAAGTGGTACAGGAACAAACGAGTAAGACAATGGGGGGAGGCACACTGTAGTAAGGCCAAAGTGGGGGAGGATGCAGGAGTAAAGCCAAAGCAGGGGAAGGATGCAGGAGTAAAGCCAAAGCAGGGGAAGGGTGCAGGAGTAAAGCCAAAGTAGGGGAAGGGTGTAGGAGTAAAGCCAAAGCAGGGGAAGGATGCAGGAGTAAAGCCAAAGTAGGGGAAGGGTGCAGGAGTAAAGCCAAAGCAGGGGAAGGATGCAGGAGTAAAGCCAAAGCAGGGGAGGAACATAGCATTAAGGCCAGAGTGGGGGAGGCACAGAAGAGTAAGAAAGCGAGGGAGGAACACAGGGTTAAAAGAGGATTTAGGAGGAGGAAGCACATAGGAGTAAGGCCGGAGTGCAGGAACACAGAATTAAAATGGGGACAAATGATGAATATGCAAGTGTGAGGTAGACAGAGATGTAAGGAACAAGGGAAGAGGACACAAAGGAGTGACAGTGCCTACAAACAGTAGCATTAGCCAGACTCGGCCCTATGCAGGTCCCCCATTATTCTTGTCGGTGCTCCCTGCTCACGTCTGTTTAGGGGAAGGTTGATTGGATGTGATGGATTTTCCTGGCCAATTACTGTTGCTTCCCCGATAGGCACACACATGCAAGTTCACCCAACATGAACCTTCTCATTTATGAAAAGATGTTTTATTCCAAAGATTGTTGGGTGGGCCGGTTGTGCACGCATGGCCAGCTGCCATCCAGTATTTGAAGGCAGCTTGAGGCTGGGAGTAGAAGGAAATTCAGGTTGAGCGTTAGGGGTAAAGGCAGGGCTGTCTGGGGGGAAGGACAAAGCTTGTGTTTTGCAAGCAGATTCTCTGTTTTTGACACTTAGATGAACAAGACTTAATCCAAAAACACAAAATCATCCATTAAATATGTTACCTGTGGTGGCTCAAAGGGGACCAGGACACTCTGCCTTCCGGTCACCGGGTCATCTACATATTGGGATAAGTTATTGCCCTCTACACGGATCAGGTGACTTGCAGGTGCCGACTGACCTTAAAAACCAAATATTATTACACAATAAAAAAGAAGTAGAAAGAAATGTCATCATTAGAGACCTATGCATCAATAAACATGGGATTACCTAAGTTCCTGTGTTATAATGTGTCTGTGTCCCGCCTGCATCAGGCAGCGTTGTGTTTTATCGCTCATTACAAATCTTTATTGCTGTTCTGTGGTCAAGCTGTGTATACGGGAACTGTTCAATCAGCCAAAGGATTTGTATTCTGTTCAGCCAGATCCTGGACCCCAACTACACAAGCAATAGCATGGTCAAGAACATACCTCCAGCCTGCTTATTGGACAGCGAAGGAATAAATAAAAGAACACGGATGACATTTCCCCTCTGTTTGGTCTACCATGGGGGTTAGGCAACCTCGACAATGCCAGCTACGGGCACCCCCAGATGCAGGGGCATGATGGGATTTTTCACCACAGCTGGAGTGCAGAGGTTGCCTACCCCTAGTCTATCATCTTCTTAGTTCAGCAATTTCACTATAAGCAGATGTGTACTGCACCAGAGTCTGACTTGTTACTAATGCTGCCAGGAGGGATATTACAGGAAGCCGACACCAAGACATATTCAGGTGCTTGCACTAGCTGCTTACAAAAAATACCTTTGTAATGAATACAATGGTAATCGGCTGCTTGGACATCCAGTGCGGTCACATGGAGGTGGGAAGAGAGTCCTCATTCCCGTGTAAGCTCCAAGTCATCACTTACACAGGGCTTCCTCTCTTTGGTCATCAAAGTCTAATGGAATGTCTGGGGAGGGAAAGCACGTATGTGCAGCTAGTGGGGCTGTATCCCCGCATGGACAACATACTTTAAAGGAGGGAGAAGAGATAATAGTTATATATAGAAGAATAGAATATTTTATTAAACCATCATGCAAGCTGATGATTCAGCATCCCAGACATAACGAGACTCAGTCATGATGGGTGGATTGGTGTGGAGGTTCTAATCACTGGCTTGGGGCCCCCCAGCACTCGATTTGGTTTACGTTATTTGCAATCAGCCACAAAATGATGAGAGATTACACAATAGCTAAAGATTAACCACCCACACACAGCAACTGACAATCTGTGCCAACATGCAGCAGCAATCAGCTTCGTGGCATCCATGCACTTTTCTCTCATTGTTACTACTGTTGACATACTGTAGTTCTCAATACCTCTCTCAATTCCTATTGAGAATTTGGGATACAGACAGATAGCAGAGAGGATAGTGAGGATAGCCAATCATGTGCGAGGAGAAAGGGGATGATGTATTCTTAGCTGTTGTCCTGCCCAACTCTGCCCTATGTGCATTAAAGGCCAAAATTCATTTAGTTATGAGGACTCATAAATTTGCTGAACTTGGAGACACCCTGAAGCCCCACCCTTGCCTCTACAAAGCCCGCCCCTTTTTTTCACCATGCTGCACAAACACATGAATTAGCGTATATAAAGACAATTGCATGGAGTTTGCATGTTCTCCCTGTGCTTGCATGGGTTTACTCCGGGAACTCCAGTTTTAGCCCATATGCTGAAGACATGATGGTAGGTTAATTGGCCATTGTCTAAGCTGGGTGTGCTGGTTTAAAATTCCCAAATGCACCTCCTATGTCAGACCCTGATAACACTCTGTTGAGGGGCGAACGGTACGCATTTCAGGCATGGAGCCAAAGTGAAGTAAGGTTCCAAAGATCACAACGGGAAGGGAAAGACAATGAGAAGAAGACATTAAGTCTAGCTGAGTATTTACTAAAAAGTACCAAAATCTGTCATTATATTATCCTCCTGTAACTGCATGTACAATAGCGCTCACACTGGGGCAGGAAAGGGGAGCACTTTGTGCCATCCAGGTACTTCTGCTTTATACAGTGATGCCAATCCCAAACTGTGAACATGTTTACTGGACAGCAAAGGGATGACTCATTAGTGTGTGGCTGTGCCCCTCTATTGTCCATTCACAAGCTGGGCGGGGGCCTGGACCAGGCTGAATTTCTTTAATGCTGTGTAGTTTGCTAAGGGATCCAGGACTTGGCTGTGCTATGTGAAAGGATTGCCTAGATCATAAACTGGAATGCAGGTCAGAAAACAACTGGCTGATGAGGGCTGCATAGATGCAGGCTTTGCATGAGGTCCAGCACCTCCTTACCTTCATTGAAGTCTCTACCCAGCTCATGGTTGGGGCAGCGTTTCACCACCTCTGTCACATGTTCGGCCTTCTTATACACTGGCATTGCCCGTATCACAGTGCCGGGTGGAGGGGGGCTGGCCAATTTGATCTGGATAGGACATGTCTTGGCAATCTGGCAGTAGAGCTTTTTCAACAAAGGTGAATACTGAAAAAAAAAGACATTGGAGATAAGTATAGGAGAAATACACAGGTAATGTATGAGATAGAAATGTCATGAACTCTTACAGGGTTATTCACAGAAGGGTGAAGAGTTTGGAGAAGTCAACAATCTAGGACAACATAGCTGAACTGGAAACATTCTCCAATTCAGCTCACTTTCCAGTTCAGCTTTGTTGTCCTAGATTGTTCCCTTCTCCGGCCTTCTCCAAACTCTTCACCCTTTTGTGAATAACTCCGTTAGTGACCAGTTTATGTTGAACCCGCTTTTGCTGTCAGAACAGTCTGAATTCTATTTTCTCACGGCATCCTGCTGATACCCACAATGGATATGCAGTGAAAGTTGCTTAGGTCATTCATCCTTCCCATTCTAATGTCTGGTTGAACCTCTTCACCATCTCTGCATGCTTTTGACCTGTTGCTGTGCGACTTGCTGCTCGGTTACTTATGGTAATAAGAAGGCATGCCTAATAAAATGTTCAATGACTGAATATAAATTATATATACACCCAGCCCTCAGCACATGTGTGTCAACTCCTCAGAGACTGGGCAGTGAAGGCATTATGGGTCCTAAGCATATGCTTTAACCCCGGAGAGCCAGCTCATAAGTATCAATCCCTCAGTGCCCAATAAATACTGCACATGTGTTATCCCCTTCAGCAGCCAGTTCCCATCACTTGTGTATCAGCCCCTCAGAATATGGGCATTAACCTCTCAGAACCCAGTCCCCAGCCTATAAGTATTAACCCCTCTGTACCCAGTCACCAGCGCATGTGTGTTAACACCTCAGCAGCCAATCCTCAGCACATGTGCATTAACCTCACTGGTCAGTACCCAGCATATTTGCAGTAAGCCCGCAGTGCACGGTCCCCAATGCATGTGTTGTACCCCTCAGTGCCCAGTCCTCAGTACATGCATGGACAGTGGACATCATGTGTGTCAAACATTTCCTGACCAACGTTCCCTTCGCCCACTTTTGCCATGATAATCATCTTAACAAAAGTAACATTTATTCCTCATCAGATATATACATATATTATAAACAACAAATGACCAGCACCCACCCCAAAAATGATGTAGTTCTTAAATGGGTACGCAAGTGCTAGTATCTGGAAGCATCAATAATACAAATGTACATATGTATACACTCACTGGCCACTTTATTAGGTACACCTTGCTAGTACACGGTTGGACCCCTTTTGTCTTTAGAACTGCTTTAATTCGTCCTGGCATGGATGCAACAAGGTGATGGAAACATTCCTTAGAGAGATAGGTCCATACTGACATGATAGCATCACACAGTTGCTGCAGATTTGTCAGCTGCACATCCATAATGCAAAGCTCCACCAGCCTGAACTGCTGATAGAAGGCAGGATGGATCCATGCTTTCATGTTGTTTACATCAAATTCTGACCCGACCGTGTATGTTGAAGTCACTGAACAGTTCTCGCAGACACACTGTAATGCTGAAGCTCGGTGTATTCTACGCTCAGCACTAAATGTATTTCTGCACAATGCTCTGTTAATTCTCAGGTACAAAGCTTTATGAGGGGGTACTTAATGCCGAACAAGCCCGCGCTGGGAAATTGTAATTGTTCAATTCATTCCATCGCCATGACACGTACGGCTCTGTTCCATCCAAAAGTCATATTTGTATCTTTCTGAGTCACCCAGGGCTCCATCTTTTCCATTCCGATCTTACGTCGTACCCCGAGTGTTGAAATATGTCAAGGATTGATACTACAGAGAATTAAAGATTATCCCCTGACAGGTTAGGACAGGTCGTGACAGGAAGTGATCCCAAAAATTTACTCGGAGCAACACAGAATCACAGAGGTTTGCTGGGACAAGTCAATAGAAATCAGGCTTTTATAAAGAGCGCCGAGATGTTATTTAATGTGAGGATTAATACTGATAATATGTTACACAGCTTCTGTATAGTAGACTATTACTCACTTTTATATATATTCTGACTACTTAAAGAATTATAGTTATAAGGACTGCACTACATGTACAATGACTAAGTAGCATGTTATCAATCTTGTTTATTTTTGTGTATGCTGGAACGGACTTCAATGTGCTGAAATTGAGATACTGGTCAACAAGAGATTCATATATTTTATACACACACACTATATATAAGTAACTATGATCGATGAATCACTGCAGAGTACACTTCCTCTGGTTGCACACATGTATCCCATGCAGCGGACTTCCCTGTGTAATCAATCTTCTGTGAGGTCAGCATACATGTAATAGCAGCTAATTGATGGATAATTGGCTATCTATCTCTTCAGTGCCTTCCTGGCCCCCAGGCATTTAGAGCTGCACTGATGATTTACACAGCTCATTGTGCTAACATAGTAACATTAAGCTTTGCTTCATGGTCCCCACACCATTGTAATATCTCGCTTTGTCTACTGTATTAGATCTGGTCAAACAGGAGTCTAATCTTTACAATGTACAATTAATGATTCTGGAAGATATATCTACCCCTTCCATGGCTCCTGTTCCATCTCTGCAAATCTCTACAATCATCTACTGTAGCTCTCTCCTGGCTCCATCTCTGTTGCACCCGCTCTGCCAATCACTCCAATTATCTACTTCTTGCATGACTCCTCATCTGCTGTCCTTTCCATCAATCTCTCCAAACATCTATCCCACCCATGCCTCCTCCACTGCTGCCCTCTCTTTGCCAATCATCTTCTCTTCTAATGACGCCTCCTATTCTGCCCCTCTCTGCCAAGTTCTCCAACTGCCTACTCTTCTTATGTCTCCAATAAATACACAGGGGGGAATTTATCAAAACTGGAGCAGACAACATCTGAAACAATTGCCAAGGGCAACCAATCAGCTTCTCTCTTCAATTTGTTCAGTTAAGATTTGAAAATGAAAGTGAGAAGCTGATTGGTTGCCGAGCAAAACTGCTCCAGATTTTGATAAATTCCCTTTACAGTCTTTTTTTCCTCCCATGGCAACTTCTCTGCTGATCCCAGAATAAATGGTATCAGCAGTTATTTACCAGAGGAGAAGCCCCACTGCTCCCATGCTGCTGGCATGATGTTGATGCCGAAATTATGCAGGCACTGTTAGGTGGTAGATACTTACTGCGGACTGATCTACCACCATCAACCTAGGGGCTGCCAGGAACCCCTATCAACATTTTGAGAAACCACAGGGATTCACAGGGCAATGGTTGGGAAAGTCTGGGTTAAACAGCTCCTCGGCATCCTGCTCTTCCGGCATGCCTACCAACCTCCCTTTCTACACCTAATGTTTATTATTGACTAACCAACTGCCATAAATCTACCACTTCCTTACCTTCTGTGTACAGCGTTGCCAGGCCTCTTAGTTTGTAAGCTGATTAGGTCAGGGCCCTCTTCTGCCATCTAATAATTGTTTTATCCGGAGTGTGTAATTTGCAGCACTTTAACATGTGTCGTAAAACACGCATAAAACACACTTATAAATAAAGGAGAGCAATTGAACTTCACTCTAAACCCAAATCTTGTTATATGGCAGATGAAACAAAACAGTAACTCACTGGCACTCCAAAGGTTCTCCAAGCAAAGTTCCTTTTATTTCATGTGTACAGTTATATCACCAATTGTTGCTACACTCAGTGATGTAACTGTACACATGGAATGAAAGGAACTTTGATTGGAGAACCTTTGGAGTGCTGGTGACTTACTGTTTTGTTTGTCTGATCCAGCGCCATCTGCTGTCATTTCAGCACACCCCCCCATTGAAAGTTGGGGCATTTTTGGTGAGGAGTGCGGTGGGATCCCCTACACAACATTGTTATGTGGCAGAGCTCTATAGATCTCGTATTAGAATCATTTACCTTTATCTACGTTTCTGAGGCTGGAAGGGATGCTAATATGCAAAGATCTGATCTACTAATCCAGGCACCAAAGAATAACTTGCCGTCGGTGCCCACCCTGCTTTGCTATCATTGGGAGGCATGCTGCACCGGCCACACAGTTTATATGGAAATCCTTCCGTGTCTGGATGAGACGGGGAGGGTGTTCCTCAAATAGCATTAGGGTTTGGTTACATGGAAAGTCTAGATGTAAATAGTGCTTAGAGGTGTTCTTTCAGGTTTGTTTTCACAACACTCTTCTGCAGGATGTTGTTACTCCTAAAAATTCTATGTTATTCTAAACAGCTGTTTCCATACATGAAGAAATATTTGAACTGCCGGATTACCTTATGTGCCCGTCTATTATATCTTACTTTTATCACAGTAACCGATAATTAGAAGAGATGAAAAGGGTTTTAATTGGAGTCTTGGTAGGAAGGCCAAGTGCCACAAGCAATACCACCAATATATAAAGTGTGGCATGTTCTCCAGATACAAGGTATACCATACTGCAGATATGACCTGGACATTACAGAAGTCACGGCTTTCCAAATGTACAGCAAGTTACATTTTGCTCAAGTGTCCAAAAATAAATTAGAATTAACTAGATTTATAGGGGAATAAAACATTTTGACATAAAAAAACATGACCAAACACCTGTGGTCAGCGGGAGGAGGAATAATCCCTAGTCACTGGTGTCAATGGGAGGAATAGTGTCCCATCATTGGTGTCAGTGGGAAGAATAGTGCCCCATCATTGGTGTCAGTGGAAGGAATAGTATCTCATCATTAGTGTCAGTGGGAAGAATAGTGCCCCATCATTGGTGTCAGTGGGAGGAATGGTCTCCCATCACTGGTGTCAGTGGGAGGAATAGCGTCCCATCACTGGTGTCAGTGGGAGGAATAGCGTCCCATCACTGGTGTCAATGGGAGGAATAGTGCCTCATCACTGGTGTCAGTGGGAGGAATAGTGTCCCATCACTGGTGTCAGGGGGAGGAATAGTGTCCCATCACTGGTGTCAGTGGGAATTGTAGTGCCTCATCATTGGTGTCAGTGGGAGGAATAGTGCCCCATCATTGGTGTCAGTGGGAGGAATAGTGACCCATCATTGGTGTCAGTGGGAGGAC